CTCCGGAGCAGGCGGGGGAGGGAAAGAGGGATGAGGGCTGAGAGTGTCAGAGTCACAGGCACTTGCGATAAAATGACAAAAACGTTACAATTTCCATTAAGGCACAACAGATAAACTACACTCACAAACATCTTTGGGACAAGAACAGCATGATTCTTGTAGTGGGCATAAAGAGCTGCACACAGAGGACTGTGCAGCAGGTTGGCTTTCACATCTACACCCCTGACAAATGATTTTACCCGGACAAATGATTGCTGACGACACTGCTTGCTGAGCGGCCAGTAAACCTTTGTTGCAGCGAGTCAGTTTTTCAGCAAGAATGTCATTTCTTTAAAATTTCTCTAAAAGACAGTTTCCTTTTTCCTAAACAAATCAAAACAGTTGTTACAAGGACGCCTTAGAGCCGGTAGGATCGTGTTTATCTGAAGTGAGAATGTGAAAAGGTAAAAATACACAAGTGAAAAATGTGATTACCTTAGCAAAACCACCACGCATGTGTTATCTAGTGTGAGGAAAATACATTCAAATGCTTCCGTCATACTGACCGATAGATTACCACACTAGCAGCTGGACACCACTACATTTCCATTAAAAGAATAAGGCTGACTCTTGTCATTCTTAGGATGAGTTTTTCTTTTTGTCTGTCAACAAATCCCACAAATTCTAACAGTGAACTGGTCTGTCTTACCACTTCCTGGCTTATGTACGTGAGCCTAGAGTTCCTGTTGAAGAGAAACTACAGGAAAAAACTAGATTGCTTGAGAAGTCACAAAAAGCTAAGCTGCATTCACCTTCTAGCCCCACTTCTGAGCTCTTATTAATAAAACGTGCACACTTTTATCTATGGATATGAAAAATTTGGTATACTTGAAGATTAAAAATATAGAAAACATAACTATTTGTTGAAGATCTGTACCTGCTCTGTGTTCAGTCTGGATAAACTTTAACTCTTTACTCCATAAAGAGACACTGACGACATCCCCTTTGTAGCCTTGATGATGAGTTTTGACACCTCAGCATATATCAATAAAGTTGTGGTTTGAAGACAATCAGAACAGTTTCTGGGTTTTTCTAAGTCTAGTTGCACAGGGAGAGACCACCCGCACTAACTTATGATGCACACCAGTCGTTTTTTTCTATAAGCCTGAAGCATTCAAGGTCGCTCCTGGTCGATTTATACAAGGGGGTAAAGAGTTAAAACAACAAGTAACTATAACTGAGAAGTGTTTAATTATTATTTATAATAATCATTATTGTCACCATTAGTTTAAGGATTACCAATTAAATTTATGGGTTCAGTACTTAGACTGGCACCGTCTTAATTTTTGGTGGCCATATTTGGTAGCCTGTGTTTGCTGATACCTAAGACTTACTATAGTTTAAACAGAGGATTTATATTAAAGGAGTTACCATGAAGGAGACAATTAGCTACAAAGACTTCCCCAGGCTTTAAAAATGCCTTTTCAGGTGGAAACCTAGACATCTTAACATAGGAGTCTGTGAGGACTAACCAGCTTTTGGAGCCAGCCTTCAACTGCACAGATCACTCATTGGGAATAATACACATTTAGTGCCCTAATATGACATTATTAGGATTCATATTAGGATTCATATTAGGGCACATAATTTGGGCTTTGGGATGTAAATAAAATTTAAATTTAAGAGAAACAACAAAACCCATTTCACGTGGTACCAACTCACTTTAGGGTTGCGACTCACATCTGGCTTTAGCTACAAAGACAATGCTAAAATTCACTATTCATTTGTGTTTTCATGGGATTTGCTGACAGAAAAAGCCCCTCCCCCCACTTGTCCTTGAACCTCCTCTCTGATTTTCTATGTGGACAGTGTTACTATACTGACTCTTCTCTCTTCTGAAGTCACTGGATTTCATCAAACAGCTACGGCTGCTTGGCCAGAATAAATCGGCACCTAAAATCAGCAGCGGTAATTAGACACACAGTGGAAACTCATGCACACGGGCGGTGAGGTGATGACCACACGCTCACGAATGCATGCTCACCGAAGCATGCGACACAGACGAGGCTCATACACACAGTAAGCATGGCGACTTTTATAAACTCACATATAATCGACACAGTGGATTTCATTGGCGTTGTATGGGATAGTAATAGTGACAGAGAAGGTTTCCTCTTACGAACTGATTCTGATCTTTTTTCCTTCATTGGTTTCACAATCTGAGTCTGCATGTTTTAAACTGAAGTTAGGCTTTCGTCCCTCCTCTCAAACACCTTTCAGTCAGCCCTTCTCACCTGCTTCATTCTCTCTTTCGTTTGTGGACAGAGTAACAGTGTGTTAGTGTTTTTGCATGAGCTGAGCAGTCCTTCTCACATCACGGTGTTTCTCAAAAAACAATGTATACCCTATGTAGGTCACTACTCTGTAGTTTGGGCCAATAAAGCACTAGAAGTACACAAGTGTCTATTGAGACGTGTTCCCTTGAGATGTGGAGGAGTGAGACGACAGGGTGGTTTAACTCCGGGGGATGATGCCCTTCTTGTAGGCCACCAAGCCAGCTGCGGCGGCAGCAGACAGGAATGTGGAGACTCCTAAGAATTTGAGGAAACCATCAACCGAAGGCAGGTTTCTCTCCCAGAAGGTGGTAACAAACGGGAGTGCCCGGATTTCCTGCAGGACGGAGGGAATGATGATATCAGATATCTGCCTTTTTCATGTGCATGATATTAACTAGATACTTGATAGATGATTTGGCAATATACAACTTATGTAATCTTGGGTCCATAATGTGTAAACAATGCATAGGTGTCTTAAACCTGCATTTTTTTTACATGACCAGCAGGGGGCAACTCTTCTGCTTGAAAATGATTTATAGAAAGCGAGGGAGAAAATGACCTCTCTTGGTTTACAACCCCAAGAAACATTATGGTCTTGCCTGGTAGTTTTTTTCTCATTTATCACAAGATGATCTTTTTCACAGTATCATTTATGGTAAAAAGAGTTTTGGATTCATGACGAGAGATTTCAGAGTGTTTCTCCACTGATTGTTCATTTTTTTAATCAAAAGCCAACTTGTAATTTGGTGCATAAGGACTTCTCTTACATCATTCTCAGGCTCAGGTTGCCAGATCTGATTAGGCTGGAGTTTACCCATCGCACACATGACCTGCGAAAAGACATTGGTGGTGTCAGTCAAAGACTTCAAAAGGATCAAAATACAGTCTAACAGTCTAAATTTTAAACATGATACACATTTTTGAGTTTGGGTGATGTTAATAAGATAACTCTTTATTATCATTGCACAGTCATACATAGTACAATAGCACAATGAAATTGGGGAACTGTCCCACGTTGGCGCTACATACAACACGACACGACACAGCAACTTAACTTAAGTAATAAAAAGAAGAATAAGTGTATGTTTTTATGTTTAATGCACTCAGATAATCTACTCAGACTTGACTGGCCTTTACTGTAACTGACCTACTCTGCAGCAGAGCCAGAGCTAAGAAACATGGAGGAACATGAACACATGGGGGAGTATCTTAGGAAACCAAACCTAATGTTAATGCCTTGGAAGAAGGACATAAACTGCAAGCAGCAGGCGAGTGTCTTAAAGAGAGATTTAGAAGACTGAGTGGGGAGGACCATTTTGATTCTATGGTTTGTTTCAGTCAGCTGTGCTCAGACATAAATGAGAGGGGAGAAAAGGCGAGGATGTCATGATTTGATATCAGCTGACCCCCAGCACTGCTGGCTGAGCATCCACAACACCAGGAGCAGGCTGAGGTGTGACTAATAGGTGTGCCAGCTGCATGATTTAAGTGGTTTCCACCTGGTATATATAAGTAACCTGCCTCTAAGGGTGTTTAAACTGGTAAGAACTGGTATTTGCTAACACGTAGCAGTGAAAAGCAGGTACTTAAATGCTCTCTGACCTCTCTGGCTGCTCTCTCTCCAGCTTGTACGGCCCCCTCCATGTAGCCACTCCATTCGGTGGCCGTCTCTGTGCCTGCAAAGTACAACTTGCCCACCGGCTCTCTCAGCACTCTGAAGAGCAAAAAAGAGAGAAACAGGAGAGGCTTCAGAGGTTAAACTGGTTTACAGGTTTTAAACACCGATTTATTTTTAATGTATGCACCAGCATTGTACTGACCGTTGAGCTTTAGCATGCATTCACTTTATTTAAGAATATCATCTCCCCTGAATAAGTGCAATATGGGATTATATAACATAAAGTGAATTTCCTTTGGATTAATCTTCCCACCCCCACTGTGCTCAACGTTAAAGAACCAAAGAAAGGACTTTTGCTTTAACTCTATTTCTTGCAGGGCCACCCGGTATGTGAAACGGTTACTCTGTATAAAAAAAAGCACAATGTTAGGTTTCCAACTCCAGCTTACTTTTCATTGTGAGTGAGAACACATTTGCACATCTGGTGAGGACATTTAGACATGAAATATGGTTCACATGACGGTTAACAAGGAGTTTCAGTTTTTCATATGGAGGTTAACAAAACTCTAATAGTGAACATATGCACCAGGATCTGTACAACAAGCAGCTTCAACTAATAAATGAAAGCAGCCGCAATGCATCAGACACACAGGATTGTGTTTTATGTGTGTGTACAGCTATAGATTTAATGGGCAAATCCTGGGGACACGTCCTGCTGTACTGAAAATGCATTCATTTGTTCACACTCCAATAAAACCCATGAAATGCCGCAAAAAACACTGCAATAACACCATTCAGATGAAATATGAGTTCACAGTATTGCTTGTGTGGTAAACATAATTATCCGTGCCACACAAAGTGTTGTGATCTCAGTGAGTCCCCTCTGGAACTGTGCACAGGCAGGCAGGGTCATTTTATGGAGTACGAGTGGCGCTGATTTGCAGAAATAAGTGCAAATCCTGCTGAAACATATTGTGGTGAGCTCAGGCGAAGTAGGAGACAGAGACTTCTGTTTCAACCTGCTGTTCCTGCGCTAGCCTCAACGCTAAACTACAGGAAGGACAGCCTTTTATTAGGAATGCCCTTTCACACACAGCAATAGTGAGAGGTGCTCAAAATCACAGTGCTCTGCCAGTCACACTAAGCACAGAACACACAGCTACAGTAATGTTACATACTAACAACAGCAATGACAAATCAACACATGTTAACTGTAGCAGCCGTTATAACGCTACAACTTAGAAACATTAACATCAGGTATAGACCCATAAGCCCTTGGGCCAGCGGCCCCTCCCCCTAGCCCTCTACATAGCCCGCACCTGAAGGGGTCAGTCGTCCCCAACAACCCCATCACCCCACACAAAGTCTTTCAAATGCCCAGGGGCCTTCTTTAGGCGAGTCGTCTGGGTGAGCCTGCTACAATACATTAGCCATTAATATCCAGCAGCTGACACATTCAAATAAATTAAGTCAATTGAAATGAAAAGATCACACTTTCATATTTCTGTTTATTTTTTTGTGTGTGTACATGTGTGAGAGAGAGACTCACCTGCCAAACTGAGTAAGGATTCCTGGGGGGAAATAGGCTGTGTAGCAGCCTCCAGAGTACTCCTCTTCACACCAGTTCTTCTCCTCATAGTGCACCGGCTGCAGGAAACAAGCAGACACATGAGCAGTCAGTCAGATTCCACAGTATCCACATGACTGTGTACCACTCTGCACCCAAACTCACATGCAAAGCCTCATCTGTGCCCAGCACTTTGGAGTAGATCTCACAGATCCTCCTCAACCTAAACACAACAACACAGGAGTTGGGATTAAACTGATCT